AGCTTCTAGGTGCTTTCAGGAGCCCACCCGCCTCCGCACACGCTCTGCCTTTTTCTGGGCTGTGGGCGCTGCACCTCCCCTTCCCCAGAGGGCGGTTGTCTGAGCCCCGCATGAGCCCGGCCCTGCCTGGAGCTCACACCATCGATCACCCGAGGGACACAGAGGAGAGCTGGGCTGTGTGTGCCCTTCCCAGGTGGCACCGCTCCCCGGCGGCACGGCCCTGGCCCCTCACAGAGCATTCCTTTGGGCCACCCCTTGCTGAGACGCGCAGGGCAGAGCCCAGCAGTCTGACCAAGGAGGGCCCGCTGGAATCATCCCCTCCCTTTTTCTGGGGGCCTCACTCTCAGTTAACACAGTCCGAGATGGTGGGTGTTGCTTAGGGAACCTGGGCCAGATTCTCCCCTGCGGAGGGAGATCCTTGACAGAGATGCCCTGAGGTAGAGCCCTGGCTGTGCCCATTCCCGCCCTGCACCGCCGAGGGCCGGTGCCCCCCTCCGGGGACCCCCAGCAGGCTTCGGCCCCACCCATCCGCTGGCAGCCCTCCTGGCCTCGTCTCCTTCTGTTTACTGGACGACTGCGCCTCCAGGGGCCGCGGCTCCTACCTACCTAGTTTTCAGGCCCGCTCAGCGCCCGCCCCAGGGCCACCAGGACGGGAGCAGCTGCGGAAGGTCCCATGGGGGGAGCAGGGGGTGGGCAGGGGGAGAGGCTGAGGCTGGAGGGGTCTGGAGGAGAGTGCAGGCTCACTCGAGCCCCCAGAATCCTCTCAGGGTCAGCGATGACCCACCACTTCCCCTCTTCTCCCAACCCCCTCCATGCCCCTCCCTGCCTGCTGGGAGGGAGGCTGGGCCACAGCAGCCCCTGGCCCACTTTGTTCTCCTTTTCTTATTGGAATTTCTTATTGGAATTTCCCTCCCAGGCTCGGCCCTGCAATGAGGGAAGATGGGCAGGTGGCCATCTGTGGCCGAGTGACCCCCAGGGCAGCCGCCTAACTGCTGTCCGTCAGCCACCACCACCCAGGCAGGCAGCGGCCTGGGGGGTGTCTCCCGGGGGAGGGGGCACGCAGAGCAGAAGCCCCGCTGGGAGAGCCAGGCCACAGGGGATGTCCGGGAGACATCAGCACCCCTGGGAGAGCCCCGCAGTGTGCGGAGGACTTCATGTCAGCAGCCAGCCCCGCAGCACGGGCAGTGCCTCGGGCGTGAGGTCACCCCGGGGGCCCAGATCCAGCTGCCTGGTTCAGATGCTGGACCTGAGGGTGGGCAGCCCCGACCCTTGACCCTCGGCAAGCCCATCTCCTGGGGGGCTCCTGCCTCCCCTCCCCGTCGTCCTCCCCGCTGCCCTGCACTCCCGCCTGGTTGCACAGCACCCGTCCTCTCACCGCCCCCTCCCCGTCCCAGAGCACTGCGACCAGGATGCAGTTTGCATCAGAAACTCAAACTCTCATTTGGGACAGGTAGGCGGGCAGGGTCTGGGTAGGACAGGGTGGGGTCAGGCCTGCAGCGGGGACCACATCCGATCAGGCCACAGTGGCCCGGGCTTCCCAGAACTGGGCGGCAGTGGCCTGATGCAGAGGAAGTGGCAAGTGGGCGGTGCCCAGGCCAGCCGATCGTGGTACTGAGTGTGCCAGTTGGCCCCGTGTCGGTCAGGAAGCCAGGTGGGCGGGCGCCAGGGCCTGGCCCTACCCGCGGCCATGTGATCTGGCTGAGTCAGCCGAGAACACCCAGGCAAGGCCTCGAGCAGGGCAGGCCGCTTCCTGCCCCTCTCCGCAGGGCTCAGGCCCTCCGAGGTGGCCTGTCTGGGAGCTGTCTCTCTGGGGGAGACCCGGCTCCCACCACCTCCCCCAGGATCCCGTACCCCACTTCCTTTCTGCCCCTGCCCTCAGCCATCTTCAAGGTGCCTGGGGACTGGGGGCGTAAAGCTCTGCCACCTCGCGGGGACCCGGGCACGGTTCAAGCCACTGGACCTCAGGCTGGTCTTTTCTGCTCTCGGGGCCTCTTTAAAACGAGATCTGCATCTTTAAAATGGGATCATGAGATCTGCTACCCTCAGCTCTCCGATATCATAAGAATCACATCAGGTGGAATAATACCTATGAAAGGGCCTGGGACGCGTCAGGGGTCCACAGCACAGGTCCAAAGTTCTGAACACTGGTCTGGACCCGTCAGGGATGCGCCCACATGCCTCGGTGCGCTGAAGGGGCTGCTGCTCCCATGGGGGCTGCTCAGGCTGCCCAGTTTGAGCCCCAGATGCTAGGCAGCTGGGGGACAGTAGCCAGGACATGTTTCTGGACCTCATGAGGGGCCTCCTGGCAGGGACTTCATGGCCACTAGCCTTGGGACCTTAGCAAGTGTCTGGAAGGCAAATGTGTGGTGTTGACATGATGGCTACTGTACTTTAACTGATGGCTGCTGTCCTTCCCTGGGATCTGCTGACCTGTCCATTGGGTGTGCAGACAGAGAGCTAAGCGGGTGGGTTCATGTGGCTTCATCCCTGAGCTTATCTGTGATTTCAGAGCACTTTCCCCCTTGCCTTTTACGATCCGTTTTGTTCAAGCAGAAGTGAGTGCACTGCGAGTGCAGGCACGTTGGCGGTGGCCGGGCTGCCAGTGCCTGCTTCTCCTGCACCCACCAATTAACAGAGGAGCCCCCCGTGGCCCGAGCCGCACCTCCCCTGCCCAGGGACTCTTGCCCTCCTGCCCTCTAGCACAGTTAGGCCAGTTGTGACACTCAGCCACTGGTGAGAAAGCTAACCAGGCAGCCAGGAACTCACACTGGGTTCACCGTCTCGGCCTCTGCAGGGGACTTTGCCACCCCCACTCAGAGGACCCCCCCCTTCACAAATAGGGGCTCAGAGACGAGCATGGCCAGCTGAGGCCACACAGCCATTACAGGCAGGACTGGACCTTTTCCCAGGCTCAGAATTGTCCCGCCCACCTCCGCGCCTGCAGGTGGGATGCGAAGTGAGTCCAGGATTCTGTTGGATTCCTTCTCAGAGCCTCAGCCCTTCCCACCGAGAGCTGCAGGCGGCTCTGCGGATTCTGGCCCCAGATAAGCGGGCTGGGCATCCTGTCTGTGCTGGCCGATAAGGCACAGAAGACCTTTCTTTACAAAGATCACATTGTTCTGGCCCGAAGGTGGGCCTCTGGTGGTGGAGGGAGGGGACAGTGTTTAGAGGCAAATAGCTGCTCGGAAGGCAGCTTCCAGTGGGGGAGGGGCGGGGCAGGGTGCAGACACCCAGGTGGGGCAGGGTGGGCTCTGTGCAGCTCTCCAGGCCGTGATGTTGGCCAGGTGGCCTTGTTTAGGGACAGAGAGCTTGTCACCTACCAGGTGCCCGAGCAAGTGCTGGAGCTCAGGGACATGGGGCTGGCCCGGGCAGGGCCGAGCCTGACCTATACCCCGTCTACTCTGGGCCAGCACCACGTGGGACCCGTCTGCCCCCGACGCTGGGGGGCCTTCGTGCCCCAGAAGGGAAACGGAAGCCGAGGAGCCAGCTCAGGCCGTGCAGGATGAGGGCGGCCAAGCCGGAAGTCGGAGCTGCCTCCCGTCCTGGGCTCCCCTATCTGTCCCCCTCATCTCCCAGGTGGCCCGGGAGTGGCAGTGGGGCAGGAGGAAGTGGGGAGCCCTAAGGAAGCAGACCAGGAGGCTCCTGCGGTTGACAGGAAGACTCCTGAGCCGGGGTAGAGCTTGAAGGTCAGCTTGTCCGGCCCCCTGCTGCCGGGCAGGGCTGCACCCAGACACCACCCGTGGATACGTCCCGCCTGTGGCTGCAGGACCCTGACGGCTCCTCGCAGTGATGTCTCACTCGAGGCCCCCATGGCGCCCATCAGCCCGGGCCTTCTGCATCCTCGGGGTGCAGGCGGGGCACAGGAGTCTGGGGCAGGCTGCAAGGAGGCTGCTGGGACTCAGAGGACGCCGGGGAGGCGGGTCCATCCCTGGATGCCTGGACAGCCACTACCTTGCCCAGAGCAGGGCTGCAGGAGGGGCCCTGCCCTACTTGCTCTGGGCCCCCAGGGCTACTCCCTGACCCGCGACAGCCCTGACCCCTTCTCAAGCCCCCTTGCCAGCGTGAGCTGATTCATTCTGGAAATGCTGCACTGGCCCTACGGGCGCCCGGCCTGAGCGGGTACCCAGGGGTTCAGGCAGTCGAGGAATCAGCTGGGATGTGCCCCACAGCGGAAGCCCAGCCTGGCGGGGAGTTAACGCATGGACCGAACTAAGACACGAGGGGTGTGTGCCTCGGGCCCCAAGACAGGCAGACGTGCTGCCCCCGAGAGGGCTAGGGTCAGGGTTCCTTCCCTCTGCGGGGACCAGCTGGGAGGAGGAGTGGTGGGAGGCCAGCCCTGCCTGTCCTGGAGCTTCTTGGGCCAAGGGGTGGGCCCGCCTAGACGCCTGCCTCCATGGGAAGGAGCTTACTCAGACGGACAAAGCTGGCGGTCCCAGGGGCGGGGGGCTTGTCCCCAGGGGCACGTGTGCCTCCAGGGCTGGGATTCCTGCTTGCTGGGTGGGCCGCGAGGGCTCCGGCAGCAAACCACAGCCCACCGTCCCCCAGAAGTGCCACCACTGCCAGGGCCTGCAGGAAGCTGACCACACCTGCGCCCTCGACCCTGCAGGTCAGCGTGGGAAACGCTGCCATGCCTTCCCAAGCCCCGAGGCTGGCTTGGTCTTGGGTCTGAGCAGGGGCTGCAGCGGCTTCCCTGCTGAGCTCCAGGCCTGCAAAGCCCTCCCCCGAGGCTTGGCCAGGGCTGGGCAGTCCCAGGCCACAGGCCTTCTCCCCAGCCGCCGCCCTTCCTCCTGATTCCTGAGCTCCCCCTTAGGGGGCCCGGGGGCCTCTGGGCTGGGGGCACCCTCTTGCTGAAACACCCGAGGCTCCCGCACAGGGATGTCAGGGCCCCTCACGCTCAGGCCCCCTCACGTGCTGGGTCGGGGGCCGTCTCACCGTGTCAGGGTGCCCTTGGGCTCCTTCCTCCAGACCCTACGGTGTCCCCTCACACACCTGGACTTCGTAATAATGAGGGCCAGGTGAAGCCACGGCAGCCTCATTTATGGCAGCGGGGAAGAATTTAGGCAACTGTAGGCCGAGGGCGAGCTGTATGGGCAAGCATCACTCCAGTAACCAAGGGTAACGGAGGGCTGTTACTGTGGTCGGGGCACAGGCCAGCCGTCAGAGGTTGGGGAGGGCAGTGAGGGCAAGGCACGTGGTGGCCCGAGATGTCTCAGGCGGGCAGAATCCAGGCTCCAAGGGCCCAGGGCTGGGCCCAGAGACAGCGTGCCCTGAGCCCTTGGGCAGCTGGAGCCCAGGCCGGGACAGAGGGAGATAGCTGCCCGCCGCGGGTGTGGTCCCTGGTTGCTGGCCCAGCCTGGGAATCTATTTCCTCATCCGCCTCCCTCCCTCCTCCCTCCATCCTCATGGACTGGCTCCCATCCTCACGGGTCTGTGCTCCCTACGAGCCTTCAGCTTTCCCTGTGAGGTGCAGAGCAGCAGACAAGGTCATGGTCAGCCCAGCATCGGGTTGACGGTCCTCCCGGCTTGGAGCCTCCAAGGGTCCGCAGACCCGCCAGGTGCCGGATTCCTCCTGCCTCCTGCCAGTGCCTGGAGGGCAGGGCCTCAGTCCTCGGCAGCACCAGGCATAGCAGGAGGCCTGGGATAGGAACCTCACCAGGGTTACCGTGGAAATTGGCCCCCAAGCTGACGCTGGCCAGAGGTTCCTCCCCTAACCCGCAGAGGAGGGACGAAGCCCAGGGGCGTTTGCTCTGCTGCCTTCATTCACCCCAGGCTCTGGGGTCCCCAAGCCCTGGAGCGGAGTGGCGCCCACACCTGCTGCAAGTCCCTGCTCCCGGCCCTGGGGAGACTCAGCACACGGGAGGGACAGTGCTGTCCCCTTTCCTGGAACTTGCATCCTGGGGTGGAAGAAAGTTGACACAGAAGAAGGAATGTAGGAGCAACGGTCCAGCGACTTGGACTGTTCCACGGGGATGTGGCATTGTGCGAGACAGAGGGGTGGCAACCTTCTGGGAAGGGACATTTGAGCGGAGAGTGGAATTTGAGAAGGACCCAGCCACACGGACGGACGGAGATGTGGGCGAGGGCGTTCGGTGGCGGGGGACGTCAGAGCAGAGGCCCCAGTGGGCACTGGCTTAGCGTGTTCAAGGAACATAACGGGGGCCAGTGTGTCTGGGGCAAGTGGGTGACAGAGCCAGGCAGGGAATGAGGTGGGAGGAGCGGGCAGGGGTCCTGACGGCCTGGAAAACAGGGACAAGGAGACAGAGGCCGGACTGTGTTCTAAACACAGTGTGGAGCCTCTGGCGAGAGGGGCCCTGGATTTAGCTCTGAAATGAACGAAGCAGCATCTCTCCCTCCTTGACCCCAAACGAGATCAGAGACAGCAGCCAGGGGTGGGCATTGGGAAGGCCGAGGGGCTGCGTGTACACCCTGAGGCCTTGCCGAAGGAGAGGGGCCACCTCGCTGTCCGAGTGGGTCAGAGGGGGGCCTTTGGGGGCCCGCGCCTGCTCTGGGGTGTCAGGACACAGAGGGGGTATCCACGGGTGCCCGCCGGCACTGCACTCGGATCTGTGGGGGTCTGTTCTGGACCAGCTGTTCAGCCATTTGGATGTCACCTCTGATGTACCTGATTATTGGGCAAATAGGAAGGAAGGGGGGAAGGGAAATCAGGCTGCTCTTCTGAGAAGAGAGATTCACGGAGGAGGGAGGGGAGAGAGTTTGGACGGATGGATCGATGGATCGATGGATGGTTAAATGATTGGATGTTTGGATGGATGGATGGGTGGCTAGGCGGTTAGATGGATGGACAGATAGGCAGGTGGGAAGATGGGTGGCTGGCTAGCTGGATGGATGGATGGATGGAAAGGAGGGAGGGAAGGTGGAACGGAGGATGGTATATATGAGCAGATGGTGGGGCTCACAGACTAATGAGTCCCACTGGCCGCTGGTGGTTAGCTGTGCTGGGGGAGGAGAAAGGCAGCCAGTGACCTCTGTGCCCTCCCCACCCTGCCCTGGTAGAGCCGGGGTGCATGGCCAGATGGGGGAGCTGAGATGTGTGGGCAGGAGCCCCTCTCCCTGCCCCAAGTTTGCAAGACTCAACCCCTAAGAGACCTGCAGCTCCAGGTGAGGAAGGCCTACCTGTGTCATCCCTCATCACGCGTCCTGGGGCCTCCATGGCAGGAGCGGGTCTGACTCACCTTGGCTGCCAGCCAGGTGCTTGGAAGAGCTCAGCTACATGAGGAGGACGGCGGTGGACGTCCTCTCAGGTGCTGGCTCCCTGGCCTGAGACACGCCTGGGGAGTCAGTGAGCGAGCTCTGAGACTCTGCAAGCAGGGGCTGGGCTTCCAGACTCCCGCCCGCTCCTCCGCGCAGTGGGTTTGCTAGAAGCTAAGCTGAACTGGTGAGAGGGGGGGACTCGGGCCAGGATTGAGAGTCAGCCTACCTGACTCAAGCACAGCCGTTGCCAATTAACGACTGTTCGACCTGGGGCCCCAAACCCCAACCTCTCTGAAACCAGTTTCCCGCTCTGTGAAATGGCAGAGGTGACAAGCTTAGCCAGGTGACACGGTAGTGATTAGGAAGGGTGGGGCCCCTGGGCCCACTGCAGCCTTGGAGCCCCCCCCACTCTGGCCTCTGGGCAGGGAACACAGAGGAGTTTCCGGGGCTGCCGACGGAACCCTGGGCCACCCTGCCCACTCCTGAAGCCCTGCCCGGGTCCACTCGCCCACCTGTCACAGCAGGAAAGGCTCTGTGTTTCTGCTGCCCCGCCCAGGAAGGCCCAGGGCCAGGGGAGAAAGCGGGAACTTTGTCCTGGGCTTGGCAGGAGGCCACCGGCCCACCCGGGAGGCGGCAGGAGGCACCACTGGGCCTTTAGAAATCGGTCACTGGGCCTTTACGCAGCATGTCCTCAGGGAGTGGAAAGAACCCAGGATTCCGAGCCGGAGTTCCTGCTCTGCCAACATCGGCCAGGCCGTGACCACAAGGCTAGACCATCAGCTCTTGGAGCCATGATTTTCTCATCCATAAAATGGGCCGACGTCGGTGCCGTGCACTGGGAACTGCTTGCCCCAGCCCCACGCAGGGCGGGGCTGCAAGGGGGCAGGAGACAGAGGGAGCTGCCTCTTTCCTGATGTGGGCAGACCGGGGCAGCGGCAGGGCTTGGGAGGGCGCGGCAGGCACCTGAAGGACTGGCCGCCGGGCTCCCCCGGGGGCCGCTGCTTCCTTTGGGACCGGACGCTGGTTTGGGCAGTGCTGTGGGGCAGGAAGTGATGTCTTGGGCAGAGTGTGGGTTCGGGTGCACCTCACCGTAAGCGCGCCTGCACTGCCTCTCCGAGTTAAGGCACTTTGGGTGCAGGTATCGGAAACCCAGCCGGGAGCTGAAGCCAGGGAGGGCAGGAGGCGGGGTCTCGAGGCGCCCTTAGGTGGGATGGGCAGGCCAGGTTCAGGGACGGCCCCAGCCCCATGCCAGCTCCCCCGAGGGCTCTGTGGCCGCCTGTCTGGCCCGCCTGCGTCCCCCTCTCTGGGCAGCCCTTGGCCCCCTCCCCTGGGTGCACCGGTCGCTGTCTTCCCACCACAGAGCTCCATCCCCTAGCGGGGGAAGTCTGGTGGCCCGGCATGGGTCAGGGGCCCACCTCAGCTCCACTTCACCGTGTCCAAGGTCCTACAGAGCTGACTTAGTGCCGGGCCTGGGGGGCAGGGGGTCCTGCCACAGCTGTGACAGCCAAGCTTCCAGCGGGGCCGGTCCGGGCCTGGCTTCTGCCATGGGCCCTGGAAAGCCTGAGCTTGGCCGTGAAGCCTTCCCTGGGTGACCCGCAGGCCCCTCGGGCCCTCGTCCCATTTCTGAGACGTACCCTGAGTGGGGACCTGACTATAAGACACGGTGGCGCCGGCCACTAGGCCCTGGCTCTCTGGCGGGTCTCTGGTCCCCTTGCCAGGGCGGGTGGAGGATGCCCCCTCCAGGCCCCAGGCTGCCCCAGCCTCAGCGTGAGGCGTGACCAGTACTCTCCCCTCCTTCCTTCCAGAAGCCCCCCAGTGCCCACGCCATGAAGGAGGAGGCCTTTCTGCGACGACGCTTCTCACTGTGTCCGCCCTCCTCCACCCCTCAGAAAGTCGACCCCCGGAAACTCAGCCGCAACCTGCTCTTGGGTGGAGAGAATGAGCTCGACTCTCTGGGTCCAGGTCAGCGTCCACATGGGAACCCGGTCACCTGGCACGTGGGCCACGGGTGGGGACAGCTGCCAAGCCTGGGCCCTCCTCAGCTTCGAAGCCCAGCTGTGTGGCCTCAGGCAGGTCCCTTTCCCTCTCTGTGCTGTCCGGGTTGGGGAGGGAGGGCGTCGGCCTTGCTGTGCTCACACCCCAGCCCCTGGTGCCTCCCGGTCAGGATGGCTCTCCCCTAGTCATTGCTTCTCCACTTCCTGCAAGGACCTGGCAATAAACCACCAGCCACAGGGAGCGGGCGGGAGTGGCCCGTCAGGCGGCCTCAGGCCTCCTCTGAGACCATGGCCTCTTCTTCCTGCCCGTGAACCTGAGCTTTAGAAACCCGCTTCAAAACAAACGGAGCTATATGGAATCTAAAAAAAAAAAAAATGGTTCTGAAGAACCTAGGGGCAGGACAGGAATAAAGATGCAGATGTAAAGAATGGACTTGAGGACACAGGGAGGGGGAAGGGTAAGCTGGGACAAAGTGAGAGAGTAGCATTGACATATATACACTACCAAATGTAAAATAGATAGCTAGTGGGAAGCAGCCTCATGGCACAGGGAGAGCAGCTCAGTGCTTTGTGACAACCTAGAGGGGTGGGATAGGGAGGGTGGGAGGGAGACGCAAAGAGGGAGGAGATATGGGGATGTATGTATACGTATAGCTGATTCACTTTGTGATACAGCAGAAATTAATACACCATTGTAAAGCAATTATACTCCAATAACGATGTTTAAAAAAAAAAAAAAACGGAGCCGGGCACGGGCAGCCGCTCCCCCCATGGTCAAATCCAGACACCTCATGCCCCCGTCCCTCCCCTCAAGCGAGCTGGAGAGGAAGCCTGCTGGGAGGGGCGCGGGGACAGTGTCCGGCCACCTCCCTCCGAGAGCCCAGCACTGGGGAGCAGTGGAATTCCAGCCAGCGGATCTGGGGCGTGGGGGGAAGCCAGGCGAGGTCTGGGTACCCTGAACTGAAAACAGGGGGCCTGTCTTACAGACCCCAGAGGGTGTGCCACACCAGCGCCCAGGGCACCCGGGCTTCTCCCAGCGGTGACACCCCCTCATGACGCTGGCTGGTGCTCATTAGCTCTCTGGTCCCGCAGCCACCGCCTGGGCTGGCTTCCTGCCCCGCCCAGGCCACCCGTGCCGGCGCCGTGCCTCCCCTGCCACACACTGGGCAGCGGCGGAGGGGCTGCCCGGCAGCCATGCCCCGGTCCTCATGCCGGCCACTCTCTTGCAGGGAAGGACATGGAGCCCAACAGCCCATCGCCGCCCAGAGATGAAGGGCCCCCGACCCCAGGCTCTGCCACGAAGGTGCCACCGGTAGGAGCCCGGCTGTGGGAGGACCCAAGGCAGGGAGCCTGCCCTGGGGACGATGGGAAGTGGCTGGAGGGAGGGGACAGCAGGGCTGCCGGCCGAACCCACCGTTGCCAGCCCTTGGCTCTGAATCAGGGAGGCTGCTGGAGCCGGGGACGGAGTCACAGAGCTTGTGAGTTGTTTATCAAAGCCACCTTCCTGAGTAACACAGGTCGGGGATGCAGGGCCTGGAGGAGGCTGGGGCTGCCAGGGGGCCTCAGGGACAGAAAATCATGGTAAAAGGAGGCCCTGGGCTCTTCTGTCATAGGGAACCCACCCAGGTGTGAGCGCATCCTCCCTCTGCCTGTGTCTGTGCTGCGCCCTCCACCCGTGCACCCTCTTCAGGGCAACGCCGAGTTCGGGGAAAGGGCACGCGCACACACAGATACACACACAAATGCACATACAGATACACAGATATACATACACACACAGAGATGCACACAGATACACACAAATGCACATACAGACACACACACAGATATACATACACACAGATGTACACACACACACATGCATGTACAGACACAGATACACATACACACATAGATACACACACAAATGCACATATAGACACACAGATATACGTACACACAGATGTACACACACACATAAATGCACATACAGATACACACACAGATACATACAGAGGCACACACACAGATACACATACACACACAATTACACACACACAGATGCACACAGCTGTACACACACACAAATGCACATACAGATACACACACAGAGATGCACACAGCTGTACACACACAGATATACACACAAATGCACATACAGATACACACACAGATATACACACACACAGATACACATACACAGATACACACATAGATACACAAATGCACGTATACACACACACACAGATGTACACACACACACAAATGCACATACAGGCACACACACAGATACAAACACAGATGCACATACACACATAGATACACACACAAATGCACATACAGACACAGAGATATAGACACATATAAATGCACATACACATACACACACAGATACACAGAGGCACACACACAGTTACACACACAGATGCACACAGCTGTACACACACAGACACAAACATACACACAAATGCACATAGATACACAGATGCACACACACAGATGCACACCATACATGCACACATGTACACACGCATAACACATGCATACACAGAGATGCACATACACACAGATGCACACACAAACACACATACACAGATATGCATACACACAGATGCACACATATACGCACAGATATACACACACAGACGCACACACAGATACACACACGCGCACACACACACACCACATGCTCCCCAGCCCAGCGCCTCTCGGCTGGGGCCCAGTCGTGCACCTCCAGGCAGAAGCTCTGGTCCAGGAAGGGTGTGGGGCCCCAGGTACAGGTGCCAGGTTGTAGACACGCCCTTCCTTCCCCCAAGGGCCTCAGGCCAGGGGAGCCACGGCCCCCGGATTGGAGGCCCCAGTTCTGGCGGTGCGGCTGGGGGGCTGGGGTCACATAGAGGCCAGTTCTCCCCACCCTGGCTGCCCCGTGAGACCCAGAGTGACAACTGCCTGCTCCTCTGGGACCCCACGCCCTCCTCTGTCCAACAAGTAGTGTGTGGCGGTCCTCCCTGTGTCCACTTCCGGCAGGGAAGAAACCGGACCTTTCGTGGGTCCCCCCTCAGGCAGCGTTTCCCCGCCTCGGTCCCCAGGGCTGCCAGCTGCTGGGAGTGCAGTTGGAGCGCCTGCATTTGTGTGTGTGGAATTTTTTTAATTAAAAATCTTTTTTAGATTACAGTAAAATACACATAACAAAATGTACCATCCTAACCATTTTTAAGTCTATGGTTTAAGTACATTCACATTATTATGTCACCATCACCACCATCCACCCCGAGAACCTTTTCATCTTATAAAACTGACAGTCTGTCCCCATTAAACACTCACGTCCCACCCCTTCCCCAGCTCTGGGCCCCGCCGTCCTACTTTCTGTCTCTATCAATGTGACTCCTCTAGGGACCTCCCGTGAGTGGATCGCACAGTATTTGTCCTTTTGTGTCTGGCTTATTTTACTTACTATAATGTCCTCATGTTCATCCAGGTTGTAGCTGGGTCAGAATTTTCTTCCTTTTTAAGGCTGAATAATATTCCACTGTGTGGCTGGACCATACTTTGTTTATTCAGTCATCTGTGTACGGACACACATATTTTTTTAAGACACAGATTTATTTCATGAAAACACGGCTCTTCCTTCTACAACCCAATAAAACATTAAACCCAATAAAACCGCATCAAATGCTATCAGGAACACTCGGTTCAAATTTCAGATTTCACCCATTCAGAAATGATGTCTGGGCATCCGGTTTGGGCAAGGCCCACACCGCGGTAGGTGCTGGGGATGGAGTCGTCGGTAAAAGAAAGTCCCTCTCTCCTGGAGCTTGTGTTCTAGAGGGAAGACAGGCACCAGACAAAACAAGTAAGGTCTAGAACACGTCAGAGGCTGAGGGAGGAAAGAAAGGACAGCTCTGGACACCCCCAGGTTCTTTTCTTTTTTAACAATTTTTTTAAACGTATTTATTTATTTATTTTTGGCTGCGTTGGGTCTTCGTTGCTGCACGCGGGCTTTCTCTAGTTGTGGCGAGCGGCGGCTCCTTTTCGCTGCGGTGCGCGGGCTTCTCACTGCGGTGGCTTCTCTTGTCGTGGAGCACGGGCTCTAGGTGCGCGGGCTTCAGTAGTTGTGGCTCGTGGGCTCTAGAGCGCAGGCTCAGTAGTTGTGGCCCACGGGCTTCGTTGCTCCGCGGCATGTGGGATCTTCCCAGACCAGGGCTCGAACCTGTGTCCCCTGCACTGGCAGGCGGATTCTTAACTACTGCGCCACCAGGGAAGCCCACCCCCACCCCCAGACTCTTAAGAGCGACTTGAGACTGTTCTAAAAGTCACAGCTTGGGGAAAGATACAAACTCTAATATATATATGATAAATATAAAGTATTTAATATATTAATATTAGATATCATATACAATATAATATAGTATAATATCACATATAGTAACATATCAGATATGTAATATACCAGCAGTTCTTTATGTATACACACACATATGTATATATATATTATGTAGTTTTTTCATGAGATAAAATTCAAATAACACAAAATTAGCCATTTTTGATGAACAATTCAGTGACACTTAGTGCATGCACAGTACTGTGCAACCGTCACCTCTGTCTAGTTTCGGTGACCCCAAACAGACACCCTCTCGGCAGTCATCCCTGCAGCCAGCCCTGTGCTTTCCCTCTCTACGGATTTGCCTCTTCCGGACATTTCATATAAACGGAGCCCTGCGATGTGTGGGGTTTTGTGCCGGGCTCCTCTCCCTGAGCCTCATCCAGGCTGTGGCAGGTGTCCGTGCCCCTGGATGGATGGACCACAGGCGGTTCGTCCACTCGTCAGTGGGAGGACATTTGGACCGTTTCCACTTTTCCGCTGTTGGGAACAGAGCTGCTACGAACACGCATGTACAAGTATCTCAGTCCCTGTTTTCAATTCTTTGGGTTTATATCTCAGAGTGGAATTGCTGGGCCATCATGGTAACTCTGTGGCAAGATGGAATTCTAGAAAGTTCTATAGTTGACTTTTGGGGGAAGTGCCGAAATGTTTTCCACAGTGGCTGCCCATTTTACTTTACAGCCCCACTGGGGGAGAGTAAGGGTTGCCGTTTCTCACCTCCTCAACAACACTTGTTTCTGTTCTTTTTTAAACCCAGTAGGTGTGAAGTGATGTCTCACTGTGTTCGTTTGTTTGTTTGTTTTGTGGTACGCAGGCCTCTCACTGTTGTGGCCTCTCCCGTTGCGGAGCACAGGCTCCGGATGCGCAGGCTCAGCGGTCACGGCTCACACGGGCCCAGCCGCTCCGCGGCATGTGGGATCTTCCCGGACCGGGGCACAAACCCGCGTCCCCTGCATCGGCAGGCGGACTCTTAACCACTGCGCCACCAGGGAAGCTCCCTAAATCACTCTTTTAAAGGAATTCTTAGGTTTTTGGTCAGACTCCCGCGTTCATGGTTCTGAGCAGCATGTCTCACTCCTGGGGGTGCTGCGTTATCGCCCCACTGTGCCTTGAGGTTCAGTGGCCCTCGGGAACGAGCAGAGGGGTCTGGTGGGCCTTGGCGGGGTCCCCAGCATGGCTCTAGGATGGAGGAGTAGGGGCACTGTCTGCAGGGACCCGGCCCGGTGGGGCTTGGGGGGCCCAGGAGCAGAGGGTTGCAGGGCACAGACGCCCCATCCCGTCCACCCCCCAGCCCCACTGTCCCCAATCGCACCTCTCTCTTCCTCTGTTGCCCCCAACAAGCTCCTTTCAGCCGCATCTGGTGGAAAGCTGGGCGGCAGGGGATTGGCAGAGGGTTCATTCACTCATTCATTCATTCATCCATTCATCCAAGATGCTCACCGAGCTCCCAGCCGCTGGTGCCAAGGGGATGCTGGGATGAAGCCGAGCCCAGTGGAGCTCTCGACAGTAAGCAGAAACGTCGGTGTGGCTGTCACTGCAGGAGATGCCCAGCCGGCCAGGGGTGGCTGGTGTCATCAGCGTCTGATGCCAGCAGGGTGGGCAGAGCCGTCTTCCTCCCGGGGAAGCAGCTCAGCGGGGCCTGAGGAAGGAGCAGGGGTTGCTCAGCAACAGGGAAGAGCATTCAGGCTGGGGGAACAGCATGTGCTAAGGAAGCTGGGGGCACCAGGCATAAGAATCCCAGCTCCCCGGGAGCTGGAGGGTCAGCCCGGCCCCCAGAGGCCTGTCACTCAGCTCCTTCTCACCACTCCTGCTTCAACACAGAGGGTGCTTCTAGAGCAGAGTTCCCCAGGCGCCTCGTCCCATGTCCCTGTCTTCCTGGGATCCCTGCCCGAGTTCAGCCCCAGCTCGGCCCCTCATGAGCTGTGTGACGTCTGGCAGGTTCTGAGCCTCTCTGTGCCACAGCCTCCTCACCTGCAGGGCATGGGTAGTAAGAATGCCTGAAGCTGCGCTGGTTCCCGTGCACACACATGCTCTCCAACCCCCTCTCTCAGCCCCTGCTCCCTGGGGGCGGCCTGTCCCTCTGTTCTAACCCCAGCACCCCAGCACCCCAGCACCCGAGGCCATGCCTGGCACGTAGTGCCGTGGGGACAGCCGGTCTCCGGGACAGTTCCGGCTGCAGCCCTGCCCCTGGCTGTGCAGCCTCGGGGGTCACTGCACCTCTCTGTGCCTCAGTTTCCTCATCCATCAGATGGGGCTAGTAACTGGGCCCGCCTCCTGGGTGGTCGTGAGAAGTAGGTGAGCAAAGGCAGTAAAGACCTGAGAGGACCTGGCAACGGCGGAGCGGTCAAGAGCGTTGCCTTGCGCAGGGAGGGAGCTGAGGGCCGTTGGCCTCTCGTCCTCCGGGCCTCCCTCCCTTGCCTGGAGGCTCGGGGTGGAGGCACTCAGCCCAGAGGACGAGCAGGGCAGGCAAATTTCTGCAAAGGACCAGAAAGGGAACGTTTTAAGCTCGGCAGCCACACGAGCTCCATCGCAAGAACTTGCCGTGGCCGTCAGAGCCAATGCAGCCACGACAGCAGGCCAACAATGGGCGTGTCCGGTGGCCACGATCACCTGATTGGTGGATGCGGAAATCTGAATTTCATCATTTTCACATCTCACGTTGATTTTTTTTCCCCCATCCCCTTAAAAATGTAAAACCCGGGATTTCCCTGGCGGTCCAGTGGTTAGGACTGTGGGCTTCCACTGCAGGGGGCGTGGGTTCAATCCCCGGTCCGGGAACTAAGATCCCGCAAGCCGCGCAGCATGGCCAAAAAAACCCAAACAAACTGTAAACCCCATCTGGGCTGGCAGGCGCCACAGAGGCAGGCCCATAGCCTTTAGTCCTGGCTGCTTCTCCCCACTCCCCCATCCCGGCTGCCATTTCCCCGTCTGTTAAAGGACCGAGGCCCCACCCGCTCCCAGATCCCTGGATGCAGCTGCCTGGTGGGCGTGGCCAGCTGCACCTCCTCCCTACAAGCCTCGGGAGAGGGCCTGGGCGTTGCCCCACCCAGCAGCTGCTGTCAGGGCACTGGGGATGGGGGTCCCCACTGCATACGTGCGCCCTCCCTGACCAGAGGCTGGGCGCCAGGTGATGGCTAAGATGGACGCCTCCTGGGCACCGCGGGGAGGGTCATTGCTATGTGCCCAATGCGGGCCCCCAGGGAGGGGTTCCACCGCAGACACGCCCCCGGTGACCCACCCCAGCTCGTGTTCACGTGCCCACCTCCTGAGGCCTGTTCACCCCCCACCCCCGGGGCAGGGAGGGGGAGGGACGCCTTTCTCCCACCTCCTGCTTCCTGCGCCCCGGCACCACCCCTCACCGCCGCACACCTGTCCTCTTCTCCCCTCCCTCCAGCAACCTGAGTCTCTCTTGCAGGCGGAATACAGGCTGTGCAATGGGTCCGACAGGGAATGTGTATCCCCGACAGCCAAGGTCACCAAGAAGGAAGCTCTCAAGGTGGGCCCAGGCCTGGGGAAGGGGCACGGTGTGTCGTTTGTTGGATGAATGGGCACCCCAGCCAGTGAGGCCACACCTCCACCCCAGCCTGCCAAAGGGAGGGGGACAGAGTGCACCCTGGCCACCTCCACACCCCCTCTTCCTGTCCTCTCCCTGCCCCCCTCTTCGTCCCCTGGCTAGACGGTGGACGAGTAGAAGGCCCCCCGGGAGGGCCAGCCCAGGGCCTTCTCCCCTGACCCACCTGCGGGTGCCCTGGGCCCAGGCACAGAAGGAGAGCTACCGCCAGGAGAAGAAGCGCGCCACCAAGCAGCTGCTCAGCGCCCTGACAGACCCCAGCGTCGTCATCATGGCCGACAGCCTGAAGGTGAGCGCGTGTGTGTTCCAGCACTGGCCAGGCTCCCGCGGGAGGCCTCCCCCAGGGACCGTGCAGGGTCACCAGCCACTCGGGAGACGGTGCGGCATGCTGGCTGCTGCAAACTGTATGTGTCCTCGGGCTGCCCTGACAAATGACCACAGGCTGGTGGCTTATGACAACCGAAGATGATTCCCAGGTCCAGAGGCCAAAGTCCAAACTCAAGGTCCTGGCAGGGCCAGGCTCCTTCCCGAGGCTCTAAAGGAGGGTTCTTCCTGCCTCTCCCAGCTTCTGAGGGCCCCAGGCATCCCTGGACTTGTGGCCGCGTCCCTCCAGCCTCTGCCTCTGTGGTTACCTGGCCTCCTCCTGTGTCTGTGTCCTCTTCTCCTCTTATAAGGACACGGTCATTGGTCCAGGGCCCACCCTGCTCCAGTGCAGCCTCGTCTTCACTTGGTCACATCTGCAGAAACCCTATTTCTAATTAAGGTGGGGGGCCCTGACCTGCTGGCGGGGGTCCCAGAGTGCCCATAGAGCCCCCTGCTGGGATACAGGAGGGAGGTGAAACTCGGACTTTGGGAGAAAGGACCGGGGCTGTGTTCAGACCTCACTGAGGCAGCGAGAGAGTCCCTCAGCTCCCAAGCTTCAGTTTCCCCCTCCGTACAGAGGGGGTACAGCTGCCGTATCCTGGGGCTGCCACGAGGGGCAGAGGAGACAAGGGGACCAGGGAGCCTGGGCTTCTACAGAGCCCTGGGCCCGCGGGGCTCTTTTTCCCTGCTCCACGAATAAAAAATTAAGTACAAAAGTGATATTTAGGATGAGAAAAGAAATGATCACAGGTTTCAAAATCACAAAGCGGACAATTGCAACAGTCACATCCGATTCCCAGTCCCCCCAGGGCCCTGGCAGGGCCTTGAACTTGAGCTCCATGGACTTCACCAGTAAATCTGGCTACAGCATCCTCCTTTGGATTCACCGTCATTCAGAGTTCCTGTTAAATCCTAAAAGAGAACTCTGCCCGGAGCGCAAAGCCCTGTGTATCTGCCCCTCCCCCAGCCGTCCAGATGCCCCTGGGTCCCAGGCAGGCATGGACGGCAGCGCCCCTCCCCCCAGATCCGCGGGACCCTGAAGAGTTGGACCAAACTGTGGTGCGTGCTGAAGCCGGGGGTGCTGCTCATCTACAAGACGCCCAAGGTGGGCCAGTGGGTGGGCACCGTCCTGCTGCACTGCTGCGAACTCATTGAGAGGCCCTCTAAGAAGGACGGCTTCTGCTTCAAGCTCTTCCACCCGCTGGACCAGTCCGTCTGGGCCGTGAAGGTACCGCAGTGCGAGCCCTGGGGCTCGGGAGGGCCAGGCGCGGAGAGAGCCCCCGGGGGCAGGTGGCTGTGTGGGAGGAGAGCACAGACGGGCAGTCAGGAGGCTCACCCTGGGGCCCCAGCGGCACGGAGTCCAGAACTGGGCTGACAGTTCCGGGGGTTAAGTCACTCAGTGGCCAGGGGGTCAGATGTGGCCCCTGGAGGTTGGGGGCGCCCAGGGCCTGGGGCCCATGGGATGAGGTCACACCTCGCGCCGTGTCCAGAGGCTGAGGAACGCGGCCACGTGAGGGCAGCTTCTCTGAACCCAGACCTCACCCTCATAACCTGGGGGCTGCCCAGCCCAGGACCAAAGGGGGTCAGGTTGCCAAGTGAAATCCTGAATGCCCAGTTAAATTTGGATTTCAGAGGAAGATCAGAAAGTTTTTTTAGGGACTTGCCTGGTGGTCCAGCGGTAAAGAATCCGCCTTCCAATGCAGGGGACGCGGGTTCAATCCCTGGTCAGGGAACTAAGATCCCCCATGCCGCAGGGCAACCGAGCCCGCGCGCCACAACTACTGAGCTCACGTGCCTCGACTAGAGAGCCCCCATGCCGCAAACTACAGAGCCCACGCGCCCTGGAGCCTGCGCGCCACAACGAGAGAAGAGAAAACCCGCATGCCACAACTAGAGAGAAGCCCGCGCGCTGCAATGAAAGATCCCGCGTGCCTCAACGAAGATCGTGCGTGCCACCACTAAGACCCGACGCAACCAAAAATAAATTAAAATAAATAAATCTTTTTTTTAAAAAAGTTTTTTTAGGATAAGTATGTCCCAAAAAGAAATGAAATGGAGTTATTTGTAGTGAGGTGGATGGACCTAGAGACTGTCGTACAGAGTGAAGTAAGTCAGAAAGAGAAAAACAAGTACTGTATGCTAACACATATATATGGAATCTAAAAAAAAACCACACTATGTCCCAAATCTTTCATGGGGTATACTTATACTATGTATGTAATTTTTCTGAGATTCAGATTTAACTGGGTGTCCTGGATCTGCACAATGCTAATTCTGGCCACCCTAAAGTGGGGGGCTCAGAGCTGGAAAGCCAAGGGTGGGACCACCAGCTAAGAAGGGGGACCGAGCACCGCGCCTGTTCACCTCTCTTGCCGCCTGCCACGTCTGCGTGGTCAGGTGCCTGACCCTGCCTAGGGGTCCTGAGGCCCCGGAAGCGTCCACGCGTGTCTGAGTGTGGGTCCACATGACCGCACAACCTGTGTTTCCACCCATCCCTGGCCCATCCCTTGGGTGACGCCGGGTCTCTGCCTCTCCAGGGCCCCAAAGGTGAGAGCGTGGGCTCCATCACACAGCCCCTCCCCAGCAGCTACCTGATCTTCAGGGCCGCCTCCGAGTCGGATGGTGAGTACCTTCCTGCCCTGCTGGTCTCCATGGTGACCCCACCTGAAGCACCCCTCCCCTTGGTGGGATTTAGGCCGGGTGTATGGGACCCCGGTTCGGACCCCTTCACCGCCATCCAAGGAGGCAGCCTGGTGTCAGGGGACGAGCCCGCTATTCACCAGCCCCCTCTCTGGAGCCTCAGTCTTCCCTGTGGGCAAAAGATGAACAGTAGCACTGTCTCCCCCGTTGCTATGCGAATCTGATGACCTTATTTAAAAGCAACCAGATAACAGTTACTGGGTGCCAACCACGTGCCAGGCACCACTGAATCAGCAGATGCTACTGTTACCATCCACGTTTGACACATGCGGAGACAGGTTGGGTGAACTGCAGGTGAGAAAGTGCTGGAGCCGGGACGAAGCCAGGTTCCCAAATCAGCGCACGTGTTTGGAGCGCCCTCTAGTGGCTTCCCCGAGTAAACGCGGCTGCCCACACACACACACCCCGACCCATCGCCGAGCCCTGAGGGCCGGCGCCTCCCAGGGATCTGGTGGAAGACTCCCACCCCACCAGCAGTTCAGGGCAGGCAAGGTCCTGCCCGAGGCAGCCTGGCCTGACCACTGGGCTCCGGCCCTCCCGCCTGGGAGTCTGGGGCAGGCGGCCGTCCCTAAGGTGCCATGCCACCCCCTGGTGGCCAGACGCTGCATCCACGCTCCAGGGGGCCGTCCTGAGTCCCTTGAATGCCACCCTCATTTCCCCAGCCCGCCACTCGGTGCCAGGCCCCTCGTGGGCCCTGGGACGGGATGGGCAGCTAGTGCTCCCATGGAGCCTGCAATCTAGTGCGAGAGAACACCAGCAAACCAGCAGACGAGGCCAACTGGGCTGAAGCATGAGCTGAGTCCCTGATGGGGTCGGGGGCCGTGGTCAGGGAGGAAGGGCATCCACAGCCCCTGTGGGTATCAGGGTGGGCTTCCTGGAGGAGGAGGAGGAATGGACTCGAAGGATGCGTGCTATTCAGGATGTCTAGTCCCTTGGGGCAACCACAAAAAACGCACGTCAGGGCCCCGGGCCCCACTCAGCAGGTGTGGGTTTCCCAGCTCTCGCCTGCGGGTTCTGCTCCCATGAGCACCCCACCTTCCACCACCATGACCTTTCAGCCCTGGCTGAAAGTTGGAAGGTTGGTATCCAGTCAAGCCTGCAGTGAAGCCCCCCCCACAGGGTGCCGGGTGTCCTCCTGATGACCAGGAGCCACCCCCGCTGCAGGCCCCTCCTCCACGATCCCCTGCAGGCCCCTCCCCCACGATCCCCAGCGCCCCTCCCAACGCCAGGCCCCGGGATGCACCACGGAGAGTTAGGGAGGGAAATTCACTGTCTCCAGGAGGGAGACACTGAGGCTTTGGAGAAGGAAAGAACCGAGTTCAAGGTCCTTCAATCCCAGGTCCAGCCCGCGGGCGGCCTCTACCAGCAGGGCTGCAGGGGGCTGAGGATAAGGGCTGGGGGCTGGAGGCGGCTGGCTCTGGCCACCCCACCCCGCCTCCCCGCCCGCCTGGCCCTCCCCTCCCCCCGGAGCTGTTCCAACACCAGGGGCTGCCTGTCTGCGGCCTTGGCTCCGCAGCCCCTCCCCAGCCTGCCAGCCCCCCTCCCGCCCTGTGCTCCAGGCCAGGAAAGCCCTCAGCGCAGAGACGCCCTCCTGCCCCGACCCGTGGGGGCCAGTCTCCATCAGGAAGGGCCCTCACCCTGACGCCATAGGTGGGAGCTCGCAGGGCCAGTTTCCATCAGGAAGGGCCCTCACCCTGACGCCACAGGTGGGAGCTCACAGGGCCTCTGTGCAGAGTGGCCTGAGCTTGCTACACGTATGACCTTGGGGGGGTCACTTACCCATCCTGGCCTTAGCCCTTGTCTGTGACGTGGGTGACTGACAGTGTGCTGGGAGTGGGGTGCTCCTTGTTGAAGAACGGAGGGATGGGGGCAGGCAGGCTCCCTGACAGAGGGACAGGAAGCTCCCCAGTGTGCAGTGGGTGCCTCCCCAGCTGGGGGCTGCTCATCGCCCCTGACCCCCCCCCCCCACTACAGGCCGCTGCTGGCTGGACGCCCTGGAGCTGGCACTGCGCTGCTCCAGCCTCCTGCGACTCAGCACATGCAGGCAGGGCCGCGACGGGGAGCCCGGGTCCTCGCCAGATGCATCACCCTCCTCGCTCTGCGGGCTGCCCGCCTCGGCCGCCGTCCACGACCAGGACCTGTTCCCGTGAGCAGGGGCGTGGCGGGCAGGGACCAGCCTCTCCCGGGAGCCTGCTGGGGACTCCTGGGCCCGGGCCCTCCCTGGCACCACCGCACGGGGTCTCCTTGTACGTGGGGAGAAGATGGGGGGCAAACGCCACCGAGGTCTGGCTGCCCAAACCCCAGGCCAGGAGGCAGGCCTCCTCCACTCGAGGTGGACCGGGGAGCCTCAGGGTGTTCGCCTGTGAACTGGGGCTTATAGTGTCAAATGCCCATCGCTGAGGCTCTTCAGCACAGGGATGGGGCTGAGGCGCCCGGCAGCGAAGGGTGCCCCGGGTGAGGGTACTGGGGGGTGTGCCCAGAGGTGGGCGTGACCAGCAACCCACGGGCGCCGTCCACCTTCCAGACTGAACGGGTCTTCCCTGGAGAACGACGCTTTCTCAGACAAGTCAGAGAGAGAGAACGCTGAGGACTCAGATAAGGAGACCCAGGACCGCAGGCGGAAGGCCGAGAGCGGGGGCGAGCCGTCGGAGGCCCCGGGGCGCCCCGCGCGCAGAGGGACCACGTACGTGGTACAGGAACACGAGGACCTGGGGGAGGTGAGAGCCCGCCCTGCCTGGAGCTCGGGCGCCGCCCAGCACCCTGCATCCCTGAAGCGATGGAGGCGACGCCTGGCCGTCCCCTCGGGGAGAGCCCGCAGGGTCTGCTACACCCAGAGGGCCGGGGCACGGGAAGGCCAGGATGGCGGGACTTAGGGAGAGCCGGGAGGGCCGCAGGGCTCTAGTGAGGGTGCTGGGGGGGCCACAGGGCAGGTTCAGGTGGCGGCCTGCCAGGGTCCAGGTGAGACCTTCAGAAGGTCAAGGGGCAGAGGTGGAGCCTGGGACCCGCTAAGGAGGAGCTGTTGTCTGGACAAAGCTGACGGTGCCCTGGACCCGGGTTGGGGTGGGGAAGGGAGAAGGGGTTCAGGGCGCGTCCAGAGGCAGACGGGCAGGACCCAGCCTGACGGCGATGCCACCTGTGAGACCGGTGCTCTGGAAGAAAGAGCTGGCGGCTGGGGGTGGGACCCGACTGTGTCCCAGGCTTGGACGTGCAAGGGAGACGCTGCTGCACGGGAGGGTCTGGGGCTCAGGGGGCCGTCTGGACATAGGGCAGCCCCAGGGGCCCGGGCACCCCAGCCTTCAGAGGCTGAGCACAGGCGGGGCTCCGCAGAGGAACCCTGGGAGGCGTGGCAGGGAGGGGAGGGGTGGCCTCAGGGGCAGCTGTGCTGGGAGCTGGAGGAGAGACAGGGTGACACGGGGGTGGTGGTGACTTTCACCAGGGCACTTTTGGTGGAGAGGAGGGGCAGAAGCCAGAGGGAGAGGGTTAGAGGGAGTGTGGGTGGGATGGGGGGTGCAGGGGATTCCCACCTGCGGCAGCTGCCACGCGCGCCCCGAAGCTGGCCTGGACATCAAAGCCAGGGAGCCACAGCCTCATGGGGGTCAGACGTGACCGTGCCTCTGGGGGCTTCCCCTCCCCTCGGTGCCCAGGCGAGCTGTCCAAGCGAGTGCCACTAGGCCTCCGCCACAGCTGTGCAGACACAGAGAGGCAGAGTGGCTGCCTGAGGTGGCCCAGCAGGGTGGTGATGGGCCCTGGCGCAGGGCTGGCTGCTGGCACACTATTCTGCTGCCTCCCTGGGGTCAGGAGATGGGGGTCCATGGGGAGGGGGGGGGGCTTGGCGTTGGCCCGAGAACTGCAGCTCGATGGCAATTCCCGAGACGGGAGGGTCCCCGATGCACAGCCCTGCCTGGGAGCACCTGCCCCGCCAGCCAGCTGTCTGTACACAGCTGCATGACCCTTTCTGAGATCACTCTGCCCACCTGAGGGTTTGCTGGTTGGTGCGGCCTGGGAGATGGAGCCCCCCACCCCCCTACCCTGCCCCCTCGCCCCCTGCCCAGACAAAGCCCAAAGCTCCGGGGCTCAGTCTCTCTGTGGCACAGTCTCAGGGAAGAGAGGAGGGGCCCAGGGCGGCCCCCTCTAGCCGTGCGACCCTGGACAGGTGAAGACCCCCTTCTGAAGGGGGTGCAGGCCTGAAGCACCTGTGTCACCCCATGAAGACAAGATGGGCTGGGGGTGGGAGGAGGTCTCCTCGAGCACGTGGCACCTGCTGCCGCGGCACAGGTCATGCAAAGTCCACAGACAGGTGTCAGCAGCCACGGTGGACGTGCACCAGCCGCGGGGAGGGCCCAGGCTGGCCAGGAACCAACCGCGGGGAGGGCCCAGGCTGGCCAGGAGCCGAGGCAGATGGGAGCCGGCCTGGGCCAGCAGCTGCCCCTCGGGTCTGCTGGAAAACGCAGGGCTCAGCTGGGGCTGGGACAGGCCCTCTGGGTGTGGCGGCCCGGCCAGGGGGTACGCGTGGCCGCCCTACCCCCCATCCCGCCCCCTCCAGGCTCCCCGCCCAGCTCTGGCTGCAGCCTGACCGCGGTCCCTCTGCCGGCAGCTGGGCGAGGCATCGCAGGTAGAGACGGTGTCTGACGAGAACAAGAGTCTGATGTGGGTCCTGCTGAAGCAGCTGCGGCCGGGCATGGACCTGTCCCGCGTGGTGCTGCCCACCTTCGTCCTGGAGCCCCGCTCCTTCCTCAACAAGCTCTCCGACTACTACTACCACGCCGACCTGCTCTCCAGGTGAGCGACGGGGAGGTGCCCAGAGACACCCCCCCCAGGCTCCCTCAGCCCCTGCCTGCCCCACAGAGAGTCCTAAGGGTCCCCAGGAAACTATCCCTGAAGCCTCTGCCTCCAAGGGGCCCGGCCTCCATGGGAGGAGCTGGTAGACAGGGAGGACGGGGCAGCCCCACGTCCGGTCAGGGCCACCATCACAGGTGAGCCCAGCACCTTCTGTGCACCTGAGCCCTGGCATTGGCTCCCTCAAGCTGAAGAAGGCAGAGGTTGGAAGGGGGGCTGCAGGCTCAGCAGCCCACGCAGAGGGAGCTGGGTGAGGGCGAGAGCATCCCGGGGGCTTCCTGGAGGCGGCACCCTGCCGGCCTCGAGCCAGCAGCACCCTCTCTGCCCCAGCACTGGAGCCACCCTGACATTTTCCAGTTCCGTGGAAAACCCGATTCCCTGGAGTGTCGGGGGAGGGTGGGAACCTCCTTTTTTGGGGCTGGGCAGCCGGGGAGGGGCCTGGGTTTTCAGCAAGTGGATGGAGGTTGAAACGGAAGGAGAGAGGGCGCCGGGAAAGGGCAGAGGGCGGCCCAGGTCCCCCGATCTGGAGTGAGGGCATTCCCCCACCCCATCGCAGGGCCGCACTGGAGGAGGACGCCTACAGCCGGATCAAGCTTGTGCTGCAGTGGTACCTGTCCGGCTTCTACAAGAAGCCCAAGGTGAGAAGCACCGTCCGGGGAGGGCGCAACTACAGCCCAGCCCTGCACCCTGGCACCCAACCCCACCCAGAGTCCAAGGCCATCCCCTACCCCGCGTGACCCTGAAGGATCCTGGTCGTCCCCACAGTGGTCCCGGGTCCTCCGAGATGGGGGACCAAGCCCTGACTTCCCACCCAGGGAAGCGACGGAAATAGCAGGGCTGGAGAATTGGGGCTTTAACTTGAAAGGTCATTAGAAGCCACAGGGGGCTTTGAGTGGGCTGTGCACTGGCTTCCCCTGAGTTCCGGGTAGAGCTTGATGTGGTTAGGGTCTCACGTGCCCCTCAGAGCCAAGAAGTGGACAGGGCACCTCGTAGGCCGTCCGCCCAGAGCGTAAACCTAGGGTAAAGCATAGTCTCCCCAGACCGGGAGTGGGGCGCTGTTCCCAGATGCTGGTGGGAAACTAGACATCCCTTCTAGAGACCTCCTCCCTGCAGGTGCCCGGGGCTGTGGGCAGCAGGCAGCCCCTCTTGTTGTCCCTCGGTCCACACCCCGTCCCAACTGGCATCTGTGCCCCACCCACAGCTTCTCACACAAGCCTCTTTGTTCACTGCCTGCAGGGGATCAAGAAGCCCTACAACCCCATTCTGGGGGAGACCTTCCGCTGCTGCTGGTTCCACCCCCAGAACCACAGCCACACCTTCTACATAGCTGAGCAGGCAAGGGCCCGGCCACCCTGGGCTGGCTGCTGGGTTCTGCAGCGGACGGGGCCCTGGCAGGGGGCAGGGGGCGTCTGACCCCCAGGCACGTTTCTGGGTGGCTCCACCTGCGACCACTGGAAGAGCTCTGGCCTCACTGCGGCCAGCGGGGATTCTCCCAGGAGGCACAGGCACCATCTCGGCTGTGACAGCAGAAAGTGTTTCCTTAGGGAGGGGGACAGCGCATCCCGTTTTCCTGGGGGGATGCGGGGATGGCATTCAGCTCCCCCCCCGGGCCCCAGGACTCAGGCCCGGCTTCCCTGGACATTGGGGCTGAGAGATGGGGACTGCCCTCGCGCCTGCGCCTGGCACTGGGAGGGATGTGGTGGGGGACCGGGCCTGCCTGCTCTTGGGGCTGCCGCAGGAGCCACCTCTCCACCCACAGGTGTCCCACCACCCCCCCGTGTCCGCCTTCCACGTCAGCAACCGAAAGGACGGCTTCTGCATCAGCGGCAGTATCACAGCCAAGTCCCGGTTCTACGGTGAGGGGGGCTCCCCTGGGCCTCGAGGAAATGGGGGGAGGACTGACCTGCCGCACTCGGTGGTCACCGAGACCTCTCCCGGTGGCCATGTTCGTGTCCCTCTCCGCCTCTCCTAGCCAGGGACTATGAGGGGTAAAGTGCTCAGAGCCTGGGGTCAGGCAGAGCCCCCTCCCCCCGGCCTCTCATCCCTCAGCCGTAGAGCTGCACTGATGCTGGGAGGATTACGGGAAGAGCCATGTGAAGGTACCATCTCGAGCTGGCTGTCCAATTCAGCACCACTGGCCACACGTGGCTGTTTGAATTGATCCAAACGAAATACAACCTAAAAGGCAGCTCCGCGGTTGCTCTGGCCGCAGTGCAAGTATCCGCGTGCTGCGTGGGATAGAACAGTGTCATCATCACAGGACAGGCTATCGGGCAGCACCCCTCGAGAGCCTGGCACCGTGGGTCTGTCTGCATTTTTACGTCCTGTCAACCTTCCTGTTGTTCTCACTGGTGGGCAGGTGCTCTGAGTGCCTCTGCGTGCCCAGCAGACTGCAGAGGGCGTACAGGCTCGGCCCACCTTTTCCACCCCTGTGCTCCCGTCACTGACTGTGGCTGTGACTCTCAGCCCTGAGCGGGCCGTACCCCCTCTCCGCTGGTGTTTAAAATCAGAGCAGAGGCCCTAGTTTGAAAAGGTTTGAAGGCTCCACCCTAAGAATCCCTGCTTTAGTAAGTGATATAAACATGAACACGTGGCGACTTAGGTAACTCCTCAGGATGAATGACTTGTACGACCTGGATGGGGCCTTTACAGAATCCGAGGCTCAGAGAGGTTAAGCAACCCGCCCAAGTCACACAGCTGGAGGTGCCTGGGACTCTTTCCACCTGTTGGAAGGGAGCTCAGGTCCTGTGACTTGGGGTGGAGGTGGGGGCCCAGGTCCCGAGGATTGGTCTCATCTCACTGGTCCCACTGCCCCGTCTCTGCAGGGAACTCACTGTCAGCTCTGCTGGATGGCAAGGCCACCCTCACCTTCCTGAACCGGGTGGAGGATTACACCCTTACCATGCCCTACGCCCACTGCAAAGGTGAGAGGCCATGGTACTCCCACCCTGGAGGGCAGAGCCCAGGCCGGCTCCCTCAGGGAGAGCACCCTGGTTCTTGTCTATTTGAAGGTATCTTATTTGACCCTCACTCTTCCATGACTTTTTAGCTGGGTATGGAATTCCAGGCAGATTGTCCTTCTGTCCTCTTTGGAAGCTTGTTACCACCTTCTAATTTCCATTGTGGTTGGTGATCAATCATCTGTTGGCCTGTTTGTTACATGTTCTGCTTTTCTCTGTAGCTGCTTTTAAGATCGTCTCTCGTCTGTGGTTTTCTGCAATTTCACTGTAGTAGTTCAAGGTTTGGATTTCTTTTTTTTTTCCTCTACAGTGTTGTGTTAATTTCTGGTATACAGCAAAGTGATTCAGTTATAGGATTTCTTTTTTATTTTTTAATTAACAGACTTTCTTTTTTACAGTGCTTTTAGGTTTACAAAAACTTTAGCAGAAAGTGCAGAGAGTTCCATATACCCCACCCATCCCAACATGCACACAGACAGGCACACACACACACACACACACACTCGGATCCCCTAGTGTTAACATCTTGCATTGGTATGCTACATTTGCTACAATTGGTTAGTTGATATTAACACATTATTATTAACTTAAGTCTATAGTTTACATTAGGGTTCACACTTTGTGTTGTATAATTATATGGATTTGGACAAATGCATGTTTCTACCGTTACAGTATCACAATAGTTTCACCACCCTAAAAAATCTGAATAGATGAATTCCCCTATTCATCCCTCCCCCCTCCCCCATCCCCATCC